GGAAGTGGAAGGGTGAGGCGACTGTCTGTTTATGTTCAACTCAGCTGGTGGGGTATAAGGTTGAACGTGAGCGTACGCAATCTGCTTGTACAAGACAGAGGTTGGGAGTGAAAATACAATCTGCAAGTCGCATATTTAGTACATTTCAGTAAACAACTCCACATGAAACAATGAGCTAATTTTAATATTTTGTCCACAACAATCATAACTGAGGAAAAAACCTTTCTGATCTAAAGCTGACCAAAGTATTTTGATCAACCCTAACACTTAAATGCAACACAATATTAATGTGAATATTACTAGGCCTCAGCCTAATATGCAAATCATAAAATCTCCTTACAATTTTGGCGTATTCCAGATTTTTCCTGGCTCAGAATTAGCCTCTGGAGGATAATTGCACACAACAGCAAGTGTGATCGGTGCACGCACATTAGGGGCAATGTGTCTGTGTTCCCTTATTTGACAGACATTTATGCATTTTTCTGTTATTTCTGACCATTTTCTCACCAAAAAACTTTAATTCACTTGAGTAAATCAAGCCCTAATTAGCATAATAATAAGTAAAACGTTGAAACTCTCTTTGGGGATGCCAAGAAAATCCTCTATGCAGAAAAACTCCTGAATCCCTTAAAGCAGATCATTGCTGCCTGGTGTACTCCGCATTTGCTCCTCAATGAAACTTCCTCTAGTGAGAATATTCCGGCTATGCAGAGCAAAATGCCCCATGAAGAACAGAATGAAAGTGTCAGGTGGAACAGGAGCCTCATAACTGCCATTCTGCATGCCTTAAAGGCTGGTTCCTTTTACTACAGCCGTGTCCCTGAACTCACGTTTCACCCCTGATCTCATGACCTCAAACACCTACAACCTGACACACCAACCCCAGCTAATACCTTGTCAGCTGCGTGAGCTGAGGTAATCATGACCTTAAAATACATCGATTTTTTTTAAAAGACACTTATAAATGTACATACGTGCAGATGAAGACATGTAGAGGTACTAAACGCTTCTCTCGAACAGTAGAAATCTGTGTGACTGATGATTCTAATTGATTCAACAGCTTGCACCTTACATTTGTAAGCTTTGTAAGGAAAGCTAATTGGAATTTAACGAGAGAACATTTTGCTGATGAATGAAGCCACATCAGCAAAAAAACATGAGACTGATATTTCAACACCAGCAGCAATTACAGTACAAGACACACCTACACACAGTCATTTGAGTTGAAGAAGCTCTGGGGGGTTCCTCTTTTTTTCTTTTTAAATCAGTCAGCCTAATACTGAATTCAAACCTAACATAACTCTGCTTAACAAGCACATTACAAATGAAGTACAAGCAGTACCTTTGCTCATCAAATACCAGAATGGCTTTCATGAAACTGAATAAGAAACAGTCTACCCCCTACCTCCAGAAACGCAGTTATGTTTAAATAACCATGAAGCACATGTTCTTTGGAGTTTATCTAATCTTATTTCAAGCTGCATGTAAAGACATTAAGGATCATCATCAACAGGCTGAAAAGGCCCCCAAACAAACAGCAGCTGAAGTTACTCTGCCGTGTGAATTACTGTTGTGGTTAAAAGAGCAATTATGACTGATAAGGTCAGGATAGATGTGATCTGATTTATATAGATCAGGCATGGCTCAGCAGTGGGGCTGAACATACAACTGCATGGGTCCTGACAGATGTTGTAATTTGATTTGCAATTAAAGTGAAGCTCTATTTCAATTTTCCCTGCGTAATGGATTTAAAACATGTGATGCGCATGAGATACCATCAAAAACATGACTATCACACAAGAAGGATGGCATGAATCTGTACATTGTACCACTGACACAACAGTTTAAACTCTGCGTCACACACACTGTATAACGTACAGTAGATCATAAACTGTGATTTGAAATTTGCATTCAATATGAAATTGATTAATTGTTTACAGCCCCGCATTATACAACCATAAACTACAAGTAGGGCTTAGTACGGAGCCTCTATATGGTTTGAGTAACCAACTTTCGCCCCTTACACAGCATCTAAAACTGCCATACCGAAAGGTACAATTCAGCCATCGCATCCACATCAGTGATCTCAAATGTAGGTCAGGCATATTTAAAAAAGAGCCAAGAAGATGAAAAAAAGTGAAGAAGGAAGCAGGAAGCCTGTCAGTGAACGCATTGGGCATGTACTGCAAAGGACGCTGCCCGATAACTGGGAAAAATGAAACACAGGAAGACGAGGCAGGACGAAAATAGCATCAGATCCCACTCACAACAAGAAAGCAATGTGAAAGAGAAACTGAGAGCAAATTTACTCAAAAGGATAAGCTAGGATCTAAAGAGGAGCCAGGGGTGTGCAGCAGTCCGCTCGCCGTGTCGCCCTTCATGTGTGAGCCACTCCCAACAGGGGTCTAATTCAGGCTAAAATGCCCTCGATGCGCTGGGCCTCCCGCCGCCGTTCGGCCTGTCGTGCTGTGTGTTTAGCGGGGTGTATGTGAGAGGTTCGGCCATCAGTCAAGAGTGACCCTGTGTGTACAATTTCCGCTTCAGCACCGTCTGCGACTTCTCCTAAACAAGAGGTGTGATTACAACACAGCAGGAACCACATGGCTAACACACTCATAATAATAAGAAGAGACAGTTTTGCACCACTTCCTCAAATGTTGTTCTGGGTACAACAATAAAAAATAAAAAAAAAACAGAGGCCCGTTGCTCAATCCACATAGCAAAAAAATGGTGCCTGCCTCTGAGATTTCTGAAGTGAAAGCTAGTGCGTGTATTATACTTGTCTCTTATCTTGTTCTCGCACACAGTCATGCACACAGTCAGCTGCTAGCCAAGCTCACATCTACAACACCCACTTCAACCAACTGCCAGCAACATTAGAAACACCTCTTTACCTTTTTAAGTCTTAATCAAATGCACAATTATAATAATATTATCATCCGTGTTCCAAAACAACTTGTCAAGTGCAGAGACCTCTTATATCACTCCCAGTAGTAACAGAAATGTTGGATGGCTTTGTGGAGTCGGCATTGAAAAAAAAAAAAAAAAGCAAAGCAGACAATGAACACACATAACTAGCTTTGTGTTTGTACTTGTAGTGACAGAGCCAAGGCTGGGGAGGCATCAGAGGAAGAGTGTGACGACATGTGACTTCGCAGTTCCATCTGTGCTGAATGGATGTGCCAGACGCATGCATAAAGTTACCCTGGCAACAGAGCAATAGCACTGCTTGGAGGTCACACGCAGAAAAATCTTGATGCAGACCAAAAAATAAAAATAAAAAAACGCTCCTAGAATATGCACAGCACCCAGAAGGAGCCTGCGAGAGGCCTGCTTATTCGCTCAGAAAGGAGGCCGAGCTTCACCCTATGCATTGTTACAGACGCACACGTGATGCATCTAGGAACATTTTACATAAACTACGCTGTGAACATGATGTAATGTGGAGCAGAGAAACCTAATCTGAGAAAGACCAGGGGTTGCACTTGATGACGCAGAAGCCCAACAGTGTTTTATCCCTTTCTCTTGTAAACACACGGCTCTGATTCTGAGAAGGGAGTTTCATTTCACACACACAGATGTAATCTCTAACTAATCACATTTGCAGGCCTTGGACGGAGCAGTTACACCACGGTGGTGAACAGATGGGCCCACGTACACGAGGCATCTCCGGGATTAGCCCGGTCCAGAAGGTGGAAGTAGCAGATAGAGTTACCAGGGGACAGTTTCTCAAAAGTAACTGGTGCTCAAATTACAATACAGGGAGTCCACATAGGTGTAATCAATCAGGGATCGAAACTGGAATTGCAGCTGTAAATTGCATTCATGAGTAATGTCTGTGAAGGCAAATCCGTTAAATGAGTTTCCTCCCTTTAACTGTGGCAAGACTTAATGTTTCAACTGTTGGCTTACATCCTTGCAAAGACATAGACGATTATGGGGAATGTACAAACTGATGTAATTGAAAATAAAAACAGCACACTAACCAAGCGAGCTTCAGCGAAACCTCCAGGCGCTCACACTGTTTCTGTTGGCAAGCGACAGATATGCGACATGACGTTTTTGTTTACAGTCGGGAAGAGAGACGGAGAACAGGATTAACCCAAAAATACACAATGATAATTAAATACAGCATTTGTAAATAGTCATGCAGATGGGAGTTGTGTCGCTTAAAACCAAAGCAAAGCTCCACGCACGATAGAATACTGAATCAACTGTATTTTATTGGATTACAACCTAAGCCCTGATACTTAAGACTACTTGGCTGAATGTTTCAGATGCACCCTTTACACCAACTGACCACTGTCATGAAGGCTAAACTTTCACTGGTGAGCTCGAAAAATTCTCAGTTTAGACTGCAGCAGATAAAGTGAAAAACCAAAAGGAATTCCAAACAGATTCCTTCTTTCTACGGAGGACTGGGGAGCTCCGGCATTTGGAAAGAATTAGTTTTCATGTCCCATTTTGGGCTAAACTTTAAACTGTAGCATTATCCACCCACGCAAATGCTCCAAGAGTTGGTATGATCACCATTGCCATTACCATGTAATGGATAAATACATTCTGCATGGATTAGAATGTTAAAAACAACGGCCGAAGCGAAAACAAGATTGTTTCAGTCTTCTCTGCATAACACGACACCACGGCACTGTAAAGGCATGCTAGTCATGAGCCTGAACCGGTGACCTCTGGGTCATATGTGAAGTGTTGAGAACAGCAGCTCCACACAGCCACACTAAATATCGATATGGAACATTCCTTGGAGTCCTTAAAAATGGGGTGAGAGCAACGTCACGGAGGACAGCGGCGACAAAGAGCGTGTTGGATGGGAGGTTTGAGCAGAGGAGGGCTTTGTTTAAGACAAATAATGCGGTTTTAAAGCGAAAAGCCAGCAGATTCTGCCTTAATCCCACTTAAATGTGTGTAAAATCTTCCTGATCTTCCAAATGAGAGAACCACCATGCCAAATTCATTTTAATTTAATAAAAAGGCCAACATACCTTCACCTTGGCTGTAAGCAGCAGTCTAAAGAATCAGAAAAGTAAACCTGAAAGAAGGCCTGACATGCAGCTACAAAAGAGACATCCTTAATTGAAGCCTAATACTCAATTAAAGTCGTGTTGTTGATGCATAATCAGCTTAGATTAATGAAGAGACAGTTCTCAGGAACATGCACAAAAGCTTGCTATTTTCTGAGATGTGATTGCCTTATTTTTGAGAAAGCAGCTGAATTTGACAGGACTCTTATCTATATCAAGTTTTAAAAGTTTCCCTCATTTCAATTATTAATTGCAGGTCATCGAGGTCGATAACCCCGTTTCCCCCAAACTCAAAACACCCCCCACTAACGCGCCTATTCTGCTGCTAAGATATGCGTTGACTGAGACAAGATAGACTGAAGCTGCACGCCGTATTGTTCGTGGGTGAACCCACGCCACACCCAGAGCGGTCCCCCGAGGGTAACTGTGCAGGGGGTTCACCGCCAATGAGCTCTCCGGAGCAGCCCGGAGCCTGCAGTGGCTGCTAAATGAGCTGTGCGGGGCTAGCAAGCACAACCCGCTGAACCCCTCAACCCTCCTGGAAAAGAAGCTAACTGTGTAGCGACCAAAGTCAACAAAGTGAGCACCACGATTTGCTAAACTCTCCGTATTAGCATGTTCTCGCTAACTAGCCGGACTCACTAGCTTCGGAGAGGGAGCGCATGATTTATTATTAGCATGACATCAAACTCCTCGGTGCAGCTTGTCGATGTGCGGTGGGGCGACCGTAGCCTGTCTTCACGTGGGCGGAGGGGCAAATAAATAACGGTTAAAATATACCCCCACTGCCATCAGCGACACACAGAGTGAGAACTACAAAACCCAGGGCCAGTCTCCGTCTCCAGCTCACCGTCTCTCTCACGTCTCCCCTCCTCTTGATGGATGCCGATTTACTTTGATAAAGGAGCATCCTGCATTTAAAAACAAACACACCCAAACCCGTTCGTGGGGCTTAACGTTTACGTTAGCTTGCTAACTCGACGGCTGGGGGAAGGATTTTCTTAATTATACCGCCAACAGTGGCAAAGTTTGACTCGTAATGCTCCGTAACTCACCGAAGTGCGCGGTTTTCCTCCTTGTTCGTCTGATATTCCAGCGGGGACATCAGCAGGCGGCGGGCAGCTAACAGTTTTGAGGCTAACGCTCCGGACACGACGATGCGCCTCGCAACAGCTGTGCTCTGTTTTGAATGAGGGCTGAGGAGGAGACGCACGGCTAACGGGCGGAGCTTCCAGGGTGCAGACGGGCCAGTCTGCCCATCATCCTCCACAGACCGGTTTAGTTCAGCTCACAAGTGCACAAAGAGCCTTTGTGGCTGCCACCGTTAGCTACAGGTTGCTAACGCGGCGTCGCTGAACGTATTGACAGACGGGATGCGCATCGCCTCCGTTTATCGTCGGAGCCAGACTCCGGGATGAAGCGACCTGTTTGGTTTTTTAAAAAAGGGCGCAAAGTTCATGCGTTTGATTCTTACTCCCTCTTGTGGTTAAACTGTTGTTGCGCCTGCACCTGCTCCAACAATAAAACCTCCCAGAATATGTGGATCTAGGACGAAACTACTGTTATAACATCAGTCATCAGGACGGATGATGTAAAACTGCACATTAACAGGTGAAAAAATTGCACATTCCTGCACACTGCAAATATTTCTATCCCCTTTTTATTACTCAAAACTATAAACAACTGCATCCACTTTTCTGTGCACTGAATTTACATTATTTATTCTACTAGTGTCATTTGAACCATACATTTCCAATATTCCTGGCTCCTCCAGGGCTCAAGATCCTTGCTCTGTGCTTTATTTTTGTTCTGTATACATTATATTCTATTTACACATGATCTTTTTCATATCTGTAATGTGTGTGATATGTGTCGACTACTATCTATCCATCCATCCATCTTTAGATTTGACACGAGCTGTTGATTTGTCTTGTAACACCTACACCTGTCTACTGACTGAGAAACACTTGCTTTTTTAAGAAAAATGTCATCCTTCTTTAATAATATTCAATTGACTTTTTAAAAATTCTTGTATGTGAAAACCTTGAAAATAAAGCTGATTCTGTTTAAAGTCCAGCACTCAAGAGCTTTAGAGTTTATTCCTAATGTTTTGCAAGATTCATCAATTTCTACAAGGCTGAAGTCAAAGTATATTATAATTTCTGACTGTGACTACCTCATACAAATATCCTGCATGATAGTTATTGACCGGGGTTGAATTATTTTGTATATGTGAGGAGATCAGGGTTCACAGGCCACGCTGCAGACAGAAGAAATAGAGATTATTCCTCCAGTAGAATGTGAAAACTTTGCACATTCTGTGGATTCAGAGTAATAATGGTTCTTTTTCTCCGTGAAGCACTGCCAAATACCAAACAGCAATGCAACCATCTAAATACACATTTACATATTCCTCCATCCATCATCTGTACACCACTTTATCCTCTACAGGCTCGAGCCTCCCAGCTGACTTCAGGTGAAGGCAGGTCTGCACATCATAAATACTTTTTTTATTTTTTGTTATTACTTACAAATCCCTGGATTTGCTGCAGGAAGAAGGACGGCGGTTCACGTCCTGGTGGGGGCACCGGGATCTTTCTGCGTGGAGTTTGCATGTTCTCCCCGTGCAGCGTGAGTTCTCTCTGGGTTCTCCGGCTTCCTCCCACACAGTCCAAAAATATGTTGAGGTTAATTGGTGATTCTAAATTGTCCGTAGGTGTGAATGTGAGTGTGCTTGGTTGTCTGTCTCTAAGTGTGGCCCTGTGATAGACTGGTGACCTGTCCAGGTGTCCCCTGCCTTCGCCCTAAGTCAGCTGGGATAGACTCCAGCCCCCCGTGACCCGAGTGAGGATTAAGCGGTGTATAGATGATGGATGGATTTGCTACACTTGCTGTTTTGTTTGACTTGTAACACTGGCTCCCTATTTCTGTTGCAGCACTTGCTTCCTTTTAAAATCTTTTTATCCTTCTTTTAAAAAATCCCGACTTGTCAACTTTTACTGTGATACAGCAAATCACTGCATCAAATTCCGCATATGTAAAAACCTACTTGGCAAAAAAAACGGATTCAGAATCTGATATAAAGGTCTGGACCTAAATATGCTACAGCAGCACAATATATATCATTATTATCATAACCACTTAGGTTTAATTTAGGTTTTATAAAGCACTGACATTCCTGCTGTTTATAAAAACAGACATTCACTTCGCAGTGACTAATTATCTGCAGTAACAAAGGCGAGTATAATAAATTGTGTTTTTATTATTAGACACTCTGTTGCCTTTTTTCAAAGTTACTTAAGTAATTAGTTCAGTTCATGTTTGCAGTAATGCCACTTCTGCAAATATTACCGCATTCAAGCAGGACAACTAAAAACTCTCTGTAATCATACAAATTACATGCATGAAAAAACTAAATACAAAAATATATTAACAGCGCCAATGGTGCTGGATTCACGACCATTTTAATCCTAATAACTTAACCGTAAAACTGTGGCTTTAAGCAGCAGCCCAGTTGTTTGCATGTGGATTTCAGTCAAAAAGGCTGCATAAGATCATAACATGTCTGAAGTTTTAATCATTTGAGTCACTGCTGTGTGTAAAGCGCACACAGCTCCTCTCTCAGTTTGGAGACTGCATTAATCCTACTGCTGTTTAATAAAATCAAAGAAAAGAATCTGAAATTCTACATCTGTTCAGCGCTACACGGTGTTTCAAGAGTTGTATTCAAGTTGGTAATGGTTGTAAAAATATCACAAATCATAGATGCATGATAGATATCCAGCTGGAGCACATGAGATGAGATCAAGATGTATTTTTTATTTTTTTTACATTTTTTGTATACATATGGCTTAAACGTACTGATAAAAATTAACACAGCTCCCTGAATGTGACCATCTACACACTGTACATCAAGAAAAGATTTTTACAATCTTTTTTTAAAAACTAACACATCATTTCCAACCTTTGAACCCCATGAGGGCTTTTTTTCTTTTCAGCAAACAATCTGACTCAGCACCACATGTGTAGATACACCAAAACAATGATAATTTAATCAAGTGTTCCATGATCATTCCCCAAACTTGAGCTGCTTTTCCTTCACCATACCGTGCAGCTCTCTCGCTCGATTCTTCAGCTCCTCTGCCTTCTTCTCGTTCTTCTCTGTCCCGTCCCCGAGTTTGTACATCCGGCTTGCATTGGCGCAGCCCCACACGTGTCCCAGCTCACAGGCCCTGTCAGCGTACTTCAGGGCGAGAGTCATATCTGGTGCCAGACCTTTGGCATTGCCCTCAATGAACATAGCGCTGAGGTTAAAGCAGGAGGGAGCGAAGCCTCCGGCACAGGCCTTCTCATAGTACTGCCGAGCCGCCGTCAGGTCGGGTTGTCCGTCTAGAGCTCGTCCATCGTGCGCTAACAGGCCAACATTATGGCAGGCGTCTACAGACTTCTTTCCTCCAGCGTTGCAGGAGCGCATAAAGCAGGAGTAGGCCGTTTTCAGACACTCAGCGACTCCACCTGGTGGACAGAGTCAGGAGACTGACTGAGAACTTTGTGCAGAGATCTTTATGCATCTTCTGCAGGGAAGTAATGTAAAAAAGTTGCTCAAATCCTTCACTTGAATAAAAAGAAAGCATACAATTAAGAGACTCCATTAGAAATCCTTCATTCAAATTCCTATGTTACTAAAAGAACAGTAAATGTACTTACAGTCGTCCTCAAATGTATTCATACCCTTCCATTAACGAAAAGGCAAAATTCACAATAGTCACTCAAATAACTATAAACTGAAAAAAGTAATAATAACTCAAAAATTTGTTAAATTATAATTTAGTGAAATAAGACATTGCTTTTGAATTGTGGGTGAGAACAATAATTTAGGGGAAAAAAAAAAACTCTCCCAGACAAATTAGAGCACTTTGCTGATGAGCAGTGGGCCAAAACCAAAATACCTGTCAACAGGTGTAGAAGTCTGATTGAGAGTTAAGGAAAACACTTGATTGCCTCAAAGGGTTGTTCAACAAAATATTAGTTTACGAGTCCCATCATGCTTGTTTTTTTTTTGTGTTTTTTTTAATGTAAATATTTCTGCTGAACCACAATTCAAAAGTAATGTCATGATTTTCATTAAATTTTCATTGATTATTACTTTTGCCAATTTCAACTTATTTCAGTGACAGCTGTTTTTTTCCTTCTTTAATGGGAGGGTATGAATACATTGAAGGACGACTGTATGTATCAAAAGTAATAATCTGAACAATTGAATCACTGATGTGGTCACAACAAAGTAAGTTCTCACAGTTAAACTGGTATGGTGACCTGATAATTGATTATTTAATCATTTTAAATAACCAATTAACCTGTCAATTAGTTCTCTTTAATAAAGCACAAGTACTTCAAAATTACACTGAAATACAAGACTTCAGAATGTCATAACATTCCACACCAGAGAGGCTAATAAGGAGAGTACTGAGCTACCTTTTCCTGTGACATGATAAGCTCCCAGTTTGTAGCAGCTCTCTCCGTGTCCATATGTCTCACAGTTGTGTTTGAGCACTTGTGCTGTAGATTCATAGTGTTTCTTGACGCCTTCCAAGTAGTCGGCGAGCCTTTGGCACCCTAAGAAAAAACATCAGAAGAGCATGCGATGAAGCAACTATAGCTAATATATATATAAAACAGTGCATTTCCATCTGTAGCTGTGGTTAGTGTTGGGGTAGAATGGTTTGAAGAAAACATCTAACTGTGGTTTTTCAAACAAATATTGCAGTCTAAGTCTTAAGTTTAATATTGGATTCAAACTTTTTAGGCTCATGTCTAATTCTTATAAATAATCCAACTGTGGCTCATAAAATAAGATGAATCCATTGCTTTGACATTTACATGTTTTTGCACACGTACGGCTTATATCTCCCAATGCAAATGATCATTGTCTACAGACTACAAATCAGGCAAACATGTCCATTTAATCAGCCTTTTTAAACACATCCTCGCCAACAAATACTGTGATCGGCTGCAGTTCACTGTTTGTTGTGAAGTAGATTTTAAACATATGATTAAAAGTCAAAGAGAGACCATTGCAATATTAACTGCACCATGTTCTAATGCAGGGAAGTTAAAGATACAGCGCCCTCCATAATTATTGGCACCCCTGGTTAAGATGTGTTCTTTAGCTTCTAGTAAATTCATTTTTTTTCCCAAATATTATAGGACCACAATGAAAAAAAAGAAGAAAATTCAACTTTTAATTAAAGTGCATTTACTCAGTGTGAAAAAAATCCCACATTAAAAAATAATTCTTTTACATCAAATCACGTGTGCCACAATGATTAGCACCCTTGATGTTACTACTTTGTACAACCCTCTTTTACCAACAATTCATTTGAGTTGAGTTGAAGGTAACAATTTTCTACAATTTTCAGTGTGAGAGTGTGCTTCTGCAATAAAGATTGAATTTATTTTAACACATCTTCACCAGGGGTGGCAATAATTATGGAGGGCGCTGTAGATATATGACATATATATTCTTCAAATATGTACTATTGTGTGTAATACTTTATTTCATGTGTAAAATTACTTTACTACTTCTGAATATTTACCAGAATGACTTCTTACTTTTTTATCAGATTTTTATAACTATTTTCATCACAATAGTAACTGCTCCATGCTCTTATGCAGGGAATGTAAAGATATCCATGGTTTCAATGATACATCATCATGTGTACCGTTTCATTTTCAAGTGCAGTATTTTATCATCATGTGTACCATTACCTACTTCAAGATTATTGTCAATAACACTTTTTACTTATTTTTTTTTAATTATTATTTTGCTCTTACTTTAGCCTAACAGAAAAGCAATAAAAACACAGGCATGATTCATTATTGCTTTTCTATTAGACATCTGCTTTCATGTTTTGCCATTTTTCCCCTACACATTATTTAGCACAACAATTTCCTTCGGGATCAGTAAAGTTCTACCTCCTTGTGTCTTATTTATCTTTTTTTTTTCTTTTCGATGACATAGGAGGTAGAACAACTGTCACAAAAGCCGTGACTGTGCTGAGTTAAATAAATATAGAAACAATACTTATAAGAAAAACTCCAAAATGAAAGCAAAAATCTCTGACATTGACACAGGTGGGTCACCCGTAGCTCTGGAGCAGCATCTAAGTCATGCACAATTTGCAATCAGGTTAAATAAAATGATAACATTTGTGCATGGCATCTTAAATTGCAACCATTTGCAAAACTGTGCCCTGTTTCGATTAAAACCGATTAGTATGCTTAGCCCTGGTCAGTTGTCTCAGTGGAGCACCACTCAGCTCTGATTCTTACCTTCAGGATCCTTCTCTTTGTAGCACTGGAAGCTGTACTCCACTCCTAAATTATCCAAAAACTGCTTCACTTCATTCTCGTCCTCAAAGTTTACAAGTCCAGCCATGTCTCAGCCTTGTTCAGGTTGTACAACAAGCACATGTGCTGAAGGCTGAGCTGCACACATCCACTGCTGCTTGACCTTGGTGACGGAGCGACGTTACGGAAGCTTCTCCTTAACACGAAACTCAATGCAGGTAGTTGCTGTCAGCTGTGAAGTTGTCATAAAAGCCCACTGCGGTCACTCATATAATAGTTTCCCTTTTTTTAAAAACAATAAAATGGTCACGCTTGTCTCCGGACGAGCTCTTCCTGTGTCGTAACCCTCCTCTGCCGGCTTCCGTAGTCCGGCCCCCTTCGCTAATGTACTTCCAGTGCTGTGACCTTTGTTTACTGTCTGTCTGCTCGCTCTGGTCAAAAATAGACCTCGCTGTGAAAACTCCGTCCCCTCCTGCCTGCTTCCTCAGTCCCGCGTTTCGGTCGCTACAGTGGTTTGGTCGACATGAATTCCGCCGCAGCCGACAGCTTCAGACGCTTCTGCCCGCAGAGTGATTTTCCGCCGCGGAGGAAACAACAAGTGAGCTAGCTAGCTGCTCCTCCGCTAACCGTCGCAGCTCCAGCCGTCGTCCTCTCCTCCTCTCCCGGTACCTGTCACACCGATTAGCCGCCTCGGGCTCCCCGGCAGGTGGACACTGATACAAACCCACCTTCTCCGCAGCAAACTAGCAAGCAAAGCTACAGTTTTTTGTTGTTTTTTTTGTTTTGTTTTTTGCGGTGAAGCGGACACCAGTCTCGATTGGATAAGCTACAACTAGATTTTTTTTTTTATAAACCATGGCTATGGCCTGTAGTTTCCTAAACACGGTAAGTTTCAGGTGATGTATGTGACGCATTTTTTTATGTTCTCGGTCGGACTTTAGCATCTGCATATCAGTGGATTGTAGTAAATGTCCCTTCGTTCCCAGGATGAGGCGTCTCCGGCAGCTCTGACGGACCTGTGCCTCACCTATGTGAGCCAGAACCTGGATTGTTTCTGCGTGAAGCGTCCTGACGGATCTCTGTGCTTCAGGGAGGCTGTGCTCTTCCCGCAGGAGTTAGCGGACCAGCTGCTGGCCAAGATGGCCACTGAAGGTAAACTCAGACCCCCAGACCAGAGCTGCGACCGTGAGTCCATTAACCGGTCAGTTGGGGCTCACTATGTCACCGGCCAAAGGAGCTTATTACCTTCACTTAAGTGTGGGTATCTCTGCTTTATTTAGGAGTTTCAAATTTTTGTTATATTTTGTTACAGCTGCAACGATTAGTCAATTAATCGGTTAGTTTGAGCTTATCATGACACAGGCAAATCTAGCTTATTGTGCACCTTACTTACCTCTTCTTAAGTGTAGTAGTCGAGCCCCGTGCTTAATTGAAAATTTTAGGCACTTCAGGTGTTGACGTTTTCTGTTGCATTTTAGGAGAGCTGCAACGATTAATCGATTAGTTGAATTAGTTGAAGCCTATCATGTCTGGGGCTAAAGGGTCACTAATTGCTCGGCTTATTTATGCTCACTTAAGTGCAGTACTCCAGTGCTATACTTGATTGTAATTTGAGATACTTGTGCTTTATTTATGTGTTACCATTTTCTGTTACATTTTACAAGAGCTGCAACGATTATTCGATTAGTTGTCCGCTGTTAAATTCATCGTCAGCTATCTTATTAGTTGATTAATCGGTCTAAAGTCAAAATTCTCTGATTTCAGCTAATTAGTCGTCTATGACACTAAATGGTTTCCTGCTACAGTAAATTAATTAAAGAATGTACCACGTGGACTCTGATGTCACTTTCTATCTGTAGTTACTCTTACTCTGGTCTCAAGCAGTGTTTTTCCCATTGCAGTGGTAATTGGTTATGAAAAGGATAATGAGAAGTTCTTTTCATTAAAAAGATGTAACTCATAAATAAACAAAAGGCATTTCTGCAAAGTTTAGTGTTGGGGTTTGTGTGATTCTAAATTTATACACTGAGATTTTCATTTTACTAAAAATGTATATCAGTGTTTGGTCTTCTTTTTTCCTAATAATAATTCTCTGCTTTGGCCCAAAAAAACCCACATCAGTAGAGCCCTACTTTTGAAAACACTGATCATCATATTTCACCATTAAATATTTTCTGGTTTCTTTACTTCTCTGTGACAATAAACCGAATATTTTTGGGTTGTAAACAAAACAAGGACATTTGAAAATGCCATCTTGGGCTCTGAGAAGCACAAATCAACATTTTTCACAATTTTTTGACATTTTATAGACCGAAAGACATTTACATCAAGAAAGTGATTCACAGATTAGTCATTTAGACACATGGGAACAGTCTAGATTTGGTGATACGTAACCACTGCAGTTGAAGAGCTTTCGTTTTTGCACGGATAAAATACCTGTTGAAACGTTTCTGTTTCAATTAAATGTTCCTCCTCCATCAATACTTTCAAGGAAGATCTCAAGACATGTTTTAATTGGCTTTGGCTGCTCTTAGTTGTCCTAATGTTTTAGTGTTTTACAATAACAACATTAAAGTAGTTTTTTTATAGTTACTTTGATTTGCAAATTGTTGTCATTTTTTCCAGTCTTATCTTTTTGCAGATTTTCATTGTTACCTATCTTATAACACATATAGCACCCACTCTGATATTTTGAAACCTAATATATGAATACATTTTGATTTAATACTGTTCTTTAAAAAAAAAGGAAATGTTTGAAATCTCTGAGCCACTTAATCTGATGGTATGTTGTCACTTAAACCAAATCCCTGCCCTCAGTAAACAGTAGCAGAATTGTGCAAGGCTCAGTCCTGCACGTGTCTCGTAGATGAACCTTGACACAAGTTTGTTCCACCACAGGTCTGCTGAACGACAGCACAGCGGGTGTGTTTCGGAACTGTGAATACCTCCGGCTGAGGCGAGCCTGCATCCGTACAGCGCGGATCTCTGCAGAGGCCTTCCAGAAAGCGCTATGCCCTCACAGACTGCTGGAGCTGGATGCTGCCAGGGTCAACGCAGACCTGACCATTCCTGACATTCTACAGGGACTGGCCACCAATAAATACTGCCAGGTAAAGGGAAAAGCATGTCTAGTTGTGTGACTTAACCACCTTTTTCCTCCCTTAATGCTAAAACAATTATTTTCCCCCTCGAACAACCTGCAGGAGTCCCTCCAGCGACTTGTCTTAACGGGTCTCACCATGTCGTCGCTGGAGGAACCGATCTGGTATCGCTTCAGCTCCCTGCAGGGCCTGCGCTCCCTCTCGCTAGCTAACGTGGACTTCTATGACTCTGGGCTAGTTGATGTGTGTTCCCTGCCTCGGCTGGAGAGCCTCGATCTCTCCAACACATCGGTCACAAACCTGAGCCCGCTGCTGGGCCTGAAGGAGCGTTTGCGTTCGCTAACGCTGCACCAGCTCAAAAGGCTGGAGATGAGCACTGCTCAGCTGCTGGGGGTCATAGGCCAGCTGGATGTACTACAGGTCAGTGGAAGAGTGGAGTTAAGTTTAGTGTTGTGTCTGTATATTAAACATGTTTCTATTTGTTGATTACACTATCTCCGTGTTTGTTTGTGTCCGTGTTGTTGTGCTGTGTGTGATACCTTTCCTATGCAGCACCTGGACATCAGTGATGATAAGCAGTTTACCTCCGACGTTGCTCGTCAACTGCTCGGACAGCCGGGGATCCTGCCCGCTCTTGTTTCTCTGGATGTATCGGGACGGAAACAGGTGGGTGCATGTGTTTGCATGCAAGTTAAAATGCAAATAAAATGCATAGAATTTAAAGTCAAGTTCTTTCTTATATACGTGAATGTTGCAGGTGACAGATGCAGCAGTTAAGGCTTTTGTTGAGGAGAGACCGGGGATGACCTTTGTGGGACTTCTTGCCACAGATGCGGGTTTTTCTGACTTTCTCTCAGGAGAGGGAAATCTAAAGGTAGGTATAAATGCATATATTAACATAAAATAATGTGCGATAAAATTCAGGTTCGCTAAGCTGTCTTCTGTGTGTTGACAGGTAACAGGGGAAGCTAACGAGACGCAGATCTGTGAGGCTCTGCGGCGCTACAGCGAGAGGGAAGGTTTTGTGAGAGAGGCTCTGTTTCATCTGTTCAGCCTGACACATGTCATGGAGAAGCCAAGGCCTGACATCCTGAAGGTAAACTCACATTATTATACTTCTCATTCCACTAGGACAGATTATTATTATTATGTTTTGCCTAATCCTAATGAAAACAATGTTATCAGGCTTAAGCGACACACAGAAGTGTCTTTTCTTAACCACAGACTGCATTCATCTGATAACCAATGCAGCTTCCACCAGAAATATCTCCACTTTACAAGTAGTTCCTCTGCACAATTCAAGTTCCTTATTCATCTCATATAACACAATATGAATTGCCTTTTTCTTGTTTTTTTTCCCTAGCTGGTAGTTTTGGGTATGAAGAATCACCCGGCCACTCTAAATGTCCAGCTGGCAGCCAGCGCATGTGTGTTCAACCTGACGAAGCAGGACCTGGCAGCAGGGATGCCAGTCCGACTATTGAGTACAGTCACTCAGCTTCTACTCGAGGCCATGAGGACTTTTCCCAACCACCAACAGGTAGCTTCATGCCTGCGCTGCTCTTGCTTAGTCATAAAGTGCTTGTCAAAACAATGACTCCGTTTGGCAAACTCCATACGCCTGATTCACACTAATACACACTAATACAACACAGCGAGCTCATGTTTTGTAGTGTGTCCCCTGCTCCCGTTAACAAGGAGTTGTTTTTTTTAAGATGCATATAGAAGTATCACTCTCTCAAAGTACAACAAAAAACAGTTGTACAGTTTTCCCCTTCACCAGTCGGTGCATTTTGAAATTTTTGTCATCCCTATAGGTAATTTAGATTTATCTGGAGCACAAAATAAAACACTGCAATGTGCTTCCAAATACACTAAATAAAGAAGCTGAATAAAATACACAATGATTGAAACATAATTAAAAAGAATTGTAAAAATTGAAAAACGAAAACTAAATGAAAACTATGATTCTCCAGAACATTGAAATTTGTAAGTTGAAACTATTTCAATCAGATTACACCTTTTTTTTTAAACTTTTTTTTCAGCCACCCCTTTATAGATTTTGTCAATAGCTGATATTAACACACACACACACACACACACATATATACACTCATGTTTTTTCAGTCTAACTGGAGAGAATATCAGATCTCTTTTTTTAGAACACACATTTCTTCTTCTTCTTCTTCTTCATCTTCTTCTTCTTCTTCTTCCTCCTACATGTAAAACTTATTTTTTTATGCAACACTTTCAAACAAAACGGTCATCTTATCAGGGTGCTCTGTTAGTCGTGAAACATGAAAAAAATGTTTGATTTGCATGATTTGAGGAACTTTCTACAACCACAAAAAGTAGCTTCCCTTTTTTTGTTTTCTTTTGAGAAAAACAAGCATAAAATTGCGCAATGCAAATGCGGTAAATGCTTTGTTGCTCAGTAATAAAATTTCTAAATCAATGTGGTCTGTCCTGAAACCAGAAGCAGGGATCTGGTCAACAAAGGGCTGGTGTGTTTTACATTAGTCATTGTGAAAAGTGACACATGCGGTTTATCGACATATACATCAATATTTTGTTAAAGCAATGTATATATTTTATTCAATAAAACTGGTACAAGGAGCACAGCACTTATAATCCAAGCTTTTTATAATTGCCCTCTTGCGCAGGCTCCGTGGTAACATAATGTGTCTGTACACACATTTTACTGGGTCACTGTAACTGACAGGAACTGATAAGAGGAGAAAAGTACTGTACATTAACAGACCGTGTTAGGGCACTGTACTCTGACCATTTTTCAAGTTTTATAATGATGTCTGATTTTCTGTTTCCATAGCTGCAGAAGAACTGCCTGCTGTCTCTGTGCAGTGATCGCATTTTGCAAGAGGTTCCATTCAACAGGTGAGAAAAGCAAATTTAGTTTCGTAATTTTTGAATATCATTTAGATATGCTTCTGTTTACATGCTTATTAGAAAAACACTAACTGTAAATGATTGAAACTGAAAATGCACCTCAACATGAGCATACCAGGAAACCAAAAAGTTCAAATATTGGCAGGCTGTGATGTGACACCTTTTCTGTTGAAGGGAAAAATTTACAATATAAATGTTTTGCTTCCTTGTTGACAAGGTTTGAAGCTGCCAAACTAGTGATGCAGTGGCTCTGCAACCATGAAGATCAGAACATGCAGAGGATGGCTGTGGCTATTATTTCCATACTGGCTGCTAAGGTATATTTTGTATAGTATTAATAACACATGCGCGGTTACTCATGCGTTCTTAGTACATTTGCTGGGTTATTCTTGAACACTACGACGTGTGCTTTTTGCAGTTGTCCACAGAGCAGACGGCCCAGCTGGGGGCGGAGCTGTTCATAGTGAAGGTAGGTTTCTCATCTCAGCTGAATACTCTCTGCCTTTGCTAATTTACCAAAAAAGGCAAGTTTTCGTTATAAATACACTCTCTCTGCCCTGCAGCAACTGCTCCACATCGTGCGTCAGAAGGCCACTCAGGGAGTGGTGGACGCCACCCTCAAATTTACACTGAGTGCACTCTGGAACCTCACGGATGAATCACCGACAACCTGCCGCCATTTTATCGAGAACCAGGGCCTGGACCTGTTCATTAAAGTTCTAGAGGTACACAGAAATGTCAGCATGGACATGTGAATAATCAGCCAACACTACATACAGAACAGCTTAGAGCAGATTTCTATAGAAGTTAATCATCACACTTAATCATGTGTTGCTCCGTATCAGTACACAAGCCTGTGGGGCGGCTGACTCACTGTTGTTTTGTGTACCTCCCCCTCCTCCCCCACCCCTCTCCGCAGTCGTTCCCCAGCGAATCTTCCATTCAGCAGAAGGTTCTCGGTCTTCTGGTGAGTTATTTTGTTACCACCTGGAAAAACAGAATGCTGAATAAATAAATAGAATAAAGACACAATTCTCCTTTGTTGCGTAGAACAACATAGCCGAGGTTGGGGAGCTGCACGGGGAGCTGATGGTGCAGGGCTTTCTGGACCACATCAGCACTCTGCTGCACAGCCCCGAGGTGGAAGTCAGCTACTTCGCTGCCGGCATCCTTGCACATCTGACGTCACGAGGAGAGGAGGCGTGGACGCTCAGCCCTAGTCTCCGGTCGTCACTACTTGAACAGCTGGTAAGAATAAGTGAAACTACTTGTAACTTCTTTACACAAGCACACAGTGGGTTGAAAAGTTGATTTGAGCTTAATGCCTTTGTCCGTCTCCAGCATGCTGTCATTATGAAGTGGCCCCCGCCTGAGTGTGAAATGGTGGCCTACAGGTGAGACACAGCTTCTCTGCAATAATAATGGAACAAGAGAACAGTCATATTGACACCTAAGACTTTTATGACGGCAACCTGAGTCATATTATGAATTCACCTTTGAAACCTGTTGCAAAAATTAACGGAAGGATGGAAATCATTTATCAAAACATCAGTACAAACAGTACATGAACAAACATTGCAAACAGGTCTTGAATAATAATTTTAAAGAAGACTCAAAAGTCCAAAAATATATTGTCTCTTTGGAGAATTGTCCCTCTGCATCCAAACAAAAAATATGTTGTTCGAGATTAGACTTGACTTTATAGCCTTAATTTGCATTTCTGGCAGATTGGTAATAAATAGCAGAAATTAAACTGTCAGTGTCTGAGGTAATCGAACATGCATTCAGGTTTCAGAATTTTAAATGGAAAATGGTGTAATTTAGTGTCAGAGCACACTTTTCTAAGAAGACTACAGACACAAACTTTAGTGCCAACATGTGATATAATAAATATATGATCATTGTCTTTCCTTGTTTAGGTCATTTAACCCCTTCTTTCCCTTACTGGAGTGCTTTCACACCCCTGGCGTCCAGCTGTGGGCAGCCTGGGCCATGCAACATGTCTGCAGCAAAAACGGTGAGACAGAGATACAAACACGAACCAAAGTTCACACACATTAATAAATATGATGTTTATATTTCCAGTTTTGACTTTCCAGTGACTCCAGCAGATGTTAATTTTCTGTAAGGATATCACTGAAACCCATGCGTCAAAAATATACATACATACAGCAAATTGAATCATTGGTTTTGGGGATGAAGACAGTTGTGTTCATCTAATTTTCTTTGCAGCATGACCTGTGAGTGATTACAATTGACTACAGCTGCTAAATCCTCTGAGCCAATTTCAATGTGGCCCATCTGATACAGTCATAAGACTCAAGCAAAACGCTACAATGCAAAATCTATGAAACTGAGTACAGATCTGAAGAAGCAAATCATTGACGTAAACAATTCTGGAAAGTCGCTTGAAGTCATTTCAGAGATGCTTCAGATCCCAAAATCAAGTTGTTTACAAGTATAAATATAAGTTCAGTCAATTTCTATGTTCAGATGAAACAAAAAGTGAGCTATTTGGCCACAATGACAAGCAATGTAACTATATATATAATATGTTTGGAGGATAGAAGGTGAGGCCCTTGACCTCAAGAACACCCAACCAACAGTTAAGCATGGTGGCGGCAGTATTATGCTCTGGAGCTGTTTTGGTGCCAAAGAAACTGGAGCTTTACACAAAGTAAATGGACTATTGTTGAAGGAGGATTACCACCGAATTCTTCAGGAAAATGTAAAATCATCAATGCAATTCAGTTTTATTTATGTAGAGCCAATTCACAACATATGTCATCTCATAGCACTTAACACAACCAGGAGGTTGGGTCTGCAGTTGGATGTTACACAATGACCCCAAACACACATCAAATGTGGTTAAGACATTGCTAAATCAGGCTAGAATGTAGGTTTTAGGCTTTGAACTTAAACCCCATTAAGAACCTGTAACCTGTGATGAAGAAACAAGTCAGTGTCAGAAATCTGACAAATTTAGTTTAACTGTAAATATTCTGTCAAGAGGAGTACTCAAAGACACAACCAGAATTTTGTAGATGGCTACCAAATGTGCAGTGAAAATGGCCAATCGGTATTTACCCAAATATAAGCAATGCTTTATGTATATTTTTGACGCAGCAGGTATTGTCATTTATCCAGAAGACCTGTAACAGTTGACAGTTTTTCGTGACAAAGATGCATTCCATCATAGAAAATTAAGAGTTGTAGGAGTCACTGGAAACTTCCATGATAAACATAGACTTTACAAGTGTATGTAAACTTTTGTTCACGACTGTACGTACGTATGAATCTTAATGTTATTCTGCTTTTATCTGTTTGACCATTTTATTGACACCTTTCTGACTCACCTTCCCAAACCGCTCATCCATTTGGTTTTGCATTATGGTCTGCAGCTTCTCGCTACTGCAGCATGTTGTTGGAGGAGGGCGGCCTGCAGCAGCTGGAGCACGTTCATACTCACCCACAGACCCACCAAGACGTCAAACTGCTGGCTGAGAGCATTCTGGACAGTCTGCAGCGGCACAGAGCCCGAACCGGCCAGCCGGCACCCACAAACACAAGTCGCCGCCCGCCACCGCAGTAACCTCACAGAGGTAACGGCGCGCACTGCAGCCGCTTGTTAGCCTGGTCGCACAATGGCTGGAAATTTTTCATCCTTTTTGCAATTTTTCTCTTTTTAGAAAACGAGGCTCACTGATCAAGAAGAGGACATAAAGCTGGTTCCCATCGTGGGCGAGGTGGAGTGGGAGGAAGTTGTATGTGTGTGTGTGTGTGTGTGAGTGCACAAACGCACAAGAATCCCTAGAAAGTAAACAGAGAAAAGGACAGAGACAATGCACTTCTTTGCACACACTAACCTTATTTATTTTCTTTGTGTTTGTTTCAAAACAAAAAATATTTCTCCGTGTTCTAATTCTATATATATATATATATATAGAAAATTTGATTCCGACAAGCTGTTGGTCAGTTCAGCTCAAATCTTGACGTGAAGTTTGTGTTTGTGCTCGCCAATTCTAGCTTTGGCATCAAGATGATTTTCGTACCAAAAACATGCCAGCGCACAATTACAAATCTCCATTTGGGATTGAACCTCCAACAGCTCGGCTCTAGCGAGGGTCAAACACCCCCGCGGCCCTCGTATGTCGAGTGCTCATTAAAATATACGCATGACGCTGCCGTGAGCTCAAGCATGCTGGAGTTTGTCTGAATGCTTGTACTGTTCATTTTAGGAATGCCTGCTTGTTTGTTTATAGCAGCGCTCTGTTACTGAAACCCACGCCTCTGGGTCTGCAATACTACTGTTGCTCCCCTCTTCGTTCAGTCTTTTATCAGCTACTGCCTTTGATTTTGATGTGACAAGACACTTGCCAAGGGTGTGTTCAGTGGGTTCAAATGTTCCAAACGTTACAGATAAAAAAATTCTAAACAAGCTGCATCACTTTGAGAATCTCCAGTGAAATCATGTTTCTTAATATTGAGATAAATCATCAGTGGCTAAACCTGCAGTGCAGAAAACTCACGATAAGTTGAGTCGGTTACGCCTGGTCTAAGAGCAAACGTACTTTTCTGGACACGAGTTTCAACAATGTTCAGCATAGTCACGATAGATGTACATTTGTATTGAGTCCCATCTGTTTTCTCTCTGAGAAACTTGTGTATATATCGGTATGTTTGCATCCCAACACGTCCAGGTGTCTTAAAGACAGAGGTGGCACTTCGGTGTGAGCATGTGTGTATGTACGTCTGTACAAGTAGCTGCATCTTAAAGACTGTATGTAATTTTGTACATAATAGAAAAAGAGGGAGAAATAGTAAATGTTCAGGACCGGTCGAATTGGTTGCATGGAAATGATTCTATTGTACGTTCCATTGTTTTGTTTTGTTTTTCATTTTGTCTGATTAAGAATTATGATTAAGAACAAAGGAAGCAGAGAAGAATCCTTTTACACAGAGAGCAAGTAGAAGCATTTAAAATATTTAAGGGTATTTCTCTGTGTCTGAAATGACGGACCATCCCACATGATGCCATTTTAGCAGTTCTGCTCTCCAGAGAAACCACCAACCCGGCAGCCACATGTTCCTGGTTTAGCTCTTAAGGCCCGTCAATATTTTCTATGCAATCAAGACCAACTTCACTTTTACAAACTTCTGTCAAACCCCTCATACTTATATTTGAGGTATAACAGTAATGACAGGTCTCCAGATTTGAACAGATAATTATATGGTGATGGAAATAAAGTTATTACATTGGGCTACAAAATGGTACTCAAACAAAAGCATACATACTTCACCTCATGTGTTAAATCATTTATGGCCTTATTGTTTTCTATACATCAGTTATTGCGGATGGGGAGCTTGATAATTACGCATGTTTACCAGAATGACAAAGAGAAGTGGATGACAGAACTTTTGTGTTTTTTTTGTTATATCTGTCACCCCTTATAACTTGGATTGTTTAGTCGAGCCCCTGAACACCGCCCTGGAAAAAGGCCAGTTTGATTTTTAAAAAAATGTTTTCCACAAGAATTGAATTCAAATGGCGGACGGAAGAAGTCGAGATGCTGTACGTCTGCCATGACTGTGCCATGTTGCTGCTCAGAGTTGCATTTTCAAGTTTGGAAATAAAGAATGTACATTGCCATAAACTGGAGATGATGCTCGTGTTGCCTTTTTATTCCATAGATGATAATCCAAACAAAACAACTAGTATCACTCTTTATTGTCTTGTTTTTTTTTTGCTGTTGCATCAAATGTAAATCAGCTCTTGTTGTGCAGATCTTCGCAAAAGCAAACAGCCACCGCTGAGCGCTCACGCTGACCTTAACTAACATATTGGCGCTGGCTGGGACGCACGCAGACGATCAATGGGTGTTAATTGTTTATTTGGCGTGAGGTTACAGAGAGCAGCGCGCATCTGTGTGGGCAGGCCAGTCTGACAGATCCAGTGGCTCAGTAGAGTTTATTCCCCAGTGTACCGCGGAGCTCTCTTCTCCATGAAGGCTGCCATCCCCTCCTGTCGGTCCCGTGTGGGGATGACCTGAAAAGAGAGGGCAAGTGGGGAGATGATCCGATTACACTGGAGAGAGAGTGTCAAAGCTGAACTCAACCGGAATTCAATGCACTGCCTCTGTTTGAAATGTTATGGGTAACAAAGTCTTGAAGTTGCCTCAGAATTTAGGTTAAAGGGAAAAATCCTAACCTACAAAAATCATGCAGGATTGCAGGGAGTGAATAATAGTCTTACCTGAGCGTAACACATCCTCTCTATTGCCATTGCAGAGGTGATGTCAACCTAGAAGAGACGGATTAGAGTCCCTGCTGTCACTGATGTAACGACATTTTAAAAATCAATCGAGATCGATGAACCGCAGTGTACCTCGACGCCTTTGTTCATCGCCTCTTTTGCCATCCTCACTGCAATTGGAGCCTGGACAAGACGAAAGAAACAAAGAGAGTTTTGATGACACCATGCAGTGACCAGCCAAAACATTAAAACCACTGACAGGCGAAGCAATAACACTGATAATGTTGCATTTACAATTTTCTGCTGGGAAACCTTGAATCCTGGCATTCATGTGGATGAAACATGTATTAGTATGTAAACACTGTTGCAGACTGAGAACAGCCCTCCATGGCAACTCCCTAATGCCCCCTGCTGGACCAAAAATCCTGCTCAGGAGGAGCTTGAGGAACACAACCAAGAGTCCGAGACATTTACCCAACCTTGATCCCCAAACAATTGCTCCATGGAGGCTAGATTCCAAAAACCATAGGACCTAAAGGATACCAGACAATACAGGACACCCCTGGTGGTCCCATGGCCCAGTGGGTCAGATCTACAGTCGTCCTGAAATGTATTCATACCCTCCCATTAATGAAGGACAAAAACACTGAAATAAGTTGAAATTGACAAAAGTAATAATAAATAAAAATTTACCAAAAATCATGACATTGCTTTTGAATTGTGGTTCAACAGAAATATATATATAAACAAAAACAAAAAACAAACAAACAAGCATGATGGAACCCGTAAACTAATATCTTGTTAAACAACCCTTTGAGCCAATCACTGCAATCAAGTGTTTTTTTTCTTAATCAGACTTCTACAACTGTTGACAGGTATTTTGGTTTTGGCCCACTGCTCATCAGCAAAGTGCTGTAATTTGTCCAGGACAGGTTTTTTTTGTTGTTTTGTTTTGTTTTTCCCTAAATTATTATTTTCACTCACAATTCAAAAGCAATATCTTATTTCACTAAATTATAATTTAGCAAATTTGTATTTACGGTTACTTTTTCTAGTTTATAGTTGTTTGAGTGACTATTGTGAATTTTGCCTTTACTTTAATGGAAGGGTATGAATACATCTGAGGACAACTGTATACATACAAGTGAGATCTTCATAATATTGGGCCAATGGTTTTAATGTTGTGGCTGAATTTTGCAAATGTTCCACAATTGTTGAAATTGTGGCTACATTCTGCTGCTGACTTATCTGATCGTCTTGTTACAATTTATTTAAATATATGTATGTATAAATAAGTGTGCATATGTGTGTGTGTGTGTGTGTGTGTGTGTGTAGTTTTTGTCTATATGCATTTTTTATACATTTTCCTTGTTTTTATGTATATTTGTGTGAAGTCTGTTATTTTATATATAAGGAAGGAAGTCACGTGTAATTTCATTGTTCATTGTTTAATGACAATAGAACTGATTCTGAAAGTTAACTCGATCTGGCACAAGCTTGACTCATACTTAAAGGAAGGATGCTGCAGTCTGTGCAGCACAGAGTTGGCAGCCCTTCAGCTTTAGGAAATGTATTATTAAATGGCTGGACAATCCATTTAAAATGTGCACAGATTTCACTGTAGGGACTCCATACGTATTAGTCAACTGGACAGACCACTTCTTATAATCCTACAGGTTTTCCAGGAAGCCACAATACCACTGAGAGAAAAATCTAAGAGCTCACTCGGCCTATTATTCTCCCACCGCGCTTTCATTTAGCACAAACTCCCATCAGTCACTCAACCCGAGCGAGCGTCTGTGAATGTGTGTGTGTGATGCTATTTGTGGTCCATTTCTCCACTTGACTGCCACTCCGGCCCTGGCGACCGCGGGCATCTGAACTGGAGTGAAAGATATGTGGAACGACAGAGGCCTGGAGAGAAGAGGAGGGGAGAGAGGAGGGAGAGGTGGGGAAGAAAAAACACACCAGGACGGGAGGAAGTGAAAAGCAGCGGACAAGAAGCAAGAAGAGGAGACGGGAAGGAAGAGGTAAAGGGACAGATCTCCCTGAATGGAGGAGGCATGGAAAAAAAAGGGAGTGTTTGTTGTAGTCCAACCTGGGGCAGTATCTCTCTGGCCAGGCTGAGTGCTTCTCTGTAGGCAGCATCTCCTGTCTGGTTCTGCTCTACAGCTCTGTTTACAAGCCCCATCTCCAGCGCTGTCTGCCCTCCCAAACGCCTACCTGATAACACACACACACACAAAAAAAATCCCTCCATAAGCATCCTGGGCCGCCTGTAGCCACATGTCAGCATTTTTTTTTCTCCCTGTAATACCACCTGTGAAGATGAGCTCTTTGGCCAGAGTGACGCCGACCATCCGCGGCAGCCGCTGACTGCCCCCTGCAGGACAAAAACCATGTGAAGGTCAACTTCTCACAGGTGCTTTGTCTCTCTATTCAGACAGTGCAGCGGCAGGGTCATCTCCGTGACCTCTGCGCGTCTTACCCGCCCCTGGGAGCAGCCCCCGCGTCGTCTCGATAAGGCCCATCTGTGCCGAATGTGCTGAAACACACACACAAGCGCAGACGGAGGACAGATGAAGGTCTGAGCTGCTGAGTGTCATTAAGCCGGGGCGCAACGTAAAAGTCTGACTGATGCCTCTGTCAGAGCAACAGACACAAACACCTGCTCGCCTAGCTCGCCTGCGCCCAGCCAATCGCGAGGCCGGCCGTGCGTGATAACAACCAATCAGATTAATGTCGATGAGCAGCTGGGCAGATGTGTCTGGCCTCACGGGCGATCATTAGTCCCCGAGCTCATCAGCGGATCATTAATTCTATCCGTGCAACTTCTCTAGAAGAACAAAAGACTCTCGACTATTTCTATAGCATTCCTACATTAATCACAACAATCTAGTTTCTTCTTTAATTTCCCCTAAATAGCTTTTAGAATCTTATTATTCCTCACTGACTGAATATATTCTGTATCAGCTTGTTGCACTTCTTCATGCAAGTTAATTAAAGTGAATGAAATGTTAATGCAAAGACTTTTAATAGCTGCGCCGTTCAATCAGATGAAAAATGTGTGTCGTGTGTAATTTTATTCACTTTTTTTTTAATAGTTTCAGTGATGTTAAATAACTGTCACTTTTGTAGCACATCACTATTTGCATGCAGTAAATGAATAAATGATTCAACAACCTGTGGATCAGGCTACAGTGGGCACTTTTGGTCTGAACCTTGAAATAATTTTATGTGAAAATTAAGGGTTTGTGTCCATAAGGTGTTGTTTTATGTGCTAGAAGACATATAATTTATCAAAAAAGGGAGTTAACACCATGACTGGGTAATTCCACCTTAAAGCTGCAGTGGATGACAGTCTTAAAAACACAGGTTTAGACTTTTAGTTTAAGCAAAAGAAAGAAAAATTAAGGAACCAATCCCGTCAGCGTGCAGAGCGGGCCTTCCTGCATCACTATTCCTCTTCAGAATCGGTTTCTGGGTCAAATATGTAAATGATTGGATTACTGCACTGTTACAACGTGCATGAAGTGAGTCACAGGCGAGCTGGTGTGCTCCAGCTGTAGCCAGCAGGAAAAAGTGAAGTGAATAGAACCATGCAGAGTCATTTTAAGGCAGGAGCAGGTTGTTTTCATGGGGAAAAAAAATCTTAATATGTAACTCTGATACACAGAAATGAGTTTTAAGGGATTGACTCAATGACCGGAGAGGGACTTAGTCACTATGACGCCACATCACGAGTTGCAGCTATCTATAAAAGCTGTGAAAAGTGCAATCGCAATATCGATTCCTTCTTAAAAATGCTGAAACTAACATAGCATTTAGGGTCCTAGAGATGCAGAGCTCTTCAGCATTTCACAAGAAAAAAACAGATGGAATAAAAAATGTTGCAAAGCAGAAGTGTTTTCTTCCTCTTTCACAACATGTTAATCCAAACTGTGACCCCTCTGAATCTTTCTTGCGACCCCACAGGGAGTCCAGATTGAGAGGCGCCGCTCTAATCTCCGCTGATGCAATGAGGGAGTTGTCAGCGCAGAGAAATGGCCCTAAGTGGGACCCTCCACTGCCCTGTTTATACTCGAGCACTGATCTGATAGGACTGGACTGGTGACAGCTGTGAAGAGAACATGACATCCCCCTTTCTAATCTCATTAACGTCACCTGAAGGAAGAAAGAATACGTTCCCTGAATCAGACTCCACCAGTTCAGGGTTTGGTGGGAGAAGGTTCAGGAGTCGCTCACCGGCAGTGCGAAGGTCGCAGGCCAACGCTAGCTCCAGTCCGCCTCCCAGGGCGACGCCGTCCATCGCCGCGATGGTCGGCATGGGCAAAGAAGCTGCCGAGGCATCCAAAAGGAAGAGAGGAAAGTTCACAACTGCAGCGAGGCAAGATGACGAATCACTCAAATCCATCTATCGATTCTCTTCCTTTACCTATTTGAGTCATGAGGGAGCGCAGGCCGTGAACAAACAGGTCAGACTCTGAGTTGTTCATCAGAGCTCTTTCTTTCAAGTCAGCACCTAAATATACAACACACACACACAAACACATCGTTAACACACACTTTAATCACAAGAGCAGCTTCTAGAAGCACCAGAAACTCCTCACCTGCACAGAAAACTCCCGGTACTAAACTCCTGAAGACAACCACACGCACCGCTGAGTCACTGGACAGAGTGGACACCAGCTCCCTCATCTGCAAACACAACAGGGCTCAACCAGTGTAGTGTGTGTGTGTGTGTGTGTGTGTTAAAGTGTGTGTGTGTTGCGTAGAGATCAGCTCACCTGTGACACGAACACATGGCCGAGAGCGTTTCTTGCTTTGTGTCGGCACATCAACACCTCTACAATTCCTGAGAAAAAGAAAAGAAAGAGAGGGCAGCAAGTAGAAATCGATCTGGTGACGACGATGGTTTTTAAATAAACAGATTCTTCACAGTCGATAGAGTACAACAGAATAGAAAAGAATAGAACATAGAGCCTTTGTAGTCATTTGGAAGTGCAAAATACCAGATTAAGGATGCTACTGTGATCTCTATGTACTATTCTGTACCCTTCGACAGTCGAGTCAGAATGGAACACGTAATTATTTCTTCCAAATCAATAAAATGTTTAAAACAAATTGTTGATTACGTGTTTGCTTTTTGGGCATAGAGTACAGTACATTAAGTGATAAGCAATGCACAATAATGCAATAACAAATATAAGACTAAATCTAAATTGGCGATGTGATGAATAAATTGACTGTAGCTGCAACTGGTGTGAAGGCCGGTGTGACTTGCTGCTACATCCTCATCAGTTCCGTCTCCATGTCGGGGATAATTTAGAAATATGAGTAAATAATAACGTTACTTATGTTGATATACGTGCATGAATCTACCCAATTCTCTCCCTTTGGAGATGCTCATATAGATCCTGCTGCATTTTGACCCTGCAGGTGTTTCATAAACTCAGAGGAAAGACTCCTATAAACAGCCGGAGGCAACAAATTAAACTTCAGCTCCTGTCAATGTTTTGTCAAAACCTGAATTACATTCATTACAGGAGAGTCTCATAAATCTGACCTGTTGAAGACTCAACGTTTTGATTTTATGGATATTTCTGTTTGTAGTAATAGATGTGACAGTGTAGGACAAAGTGAATGAGAAAAGGTGTTCTGTGATCTCTGTGGTTTGCTCTCTGTGGTGTTTTTTCACCTTTATTGATCCTGAAATGTGAAAAAAACAACAACCTAGAAATCACTTCACACGACTCGGACTACTGTCCCCTGTGTATGCCTTTATAATCATTTGACGAAACACAGATCAGACGTGCACCATGTTTGAAGTGATGAGGGAACGTTACAAGGTCTGACCTAGAAGAGAGAGGTGCTCATCAGGCATGAAGCTGACAGATCCAGATGTCATCAGACTGATGGAGAGGTGAATATCAGCAGGTTCTGAAAAGTAGTGGCTGCTTTTGCAATAAATCTAGAAAATAATGGGTATAATTAATCAATAATATGCTTTTTTTTCTCTCCCATTTACCCTCACCCCAACTAGTTATGGAAGATGTCTGCCCTCCATGAGCCTGGTTCTACAGGAGGTCTCTTCCTGTTTAAGGGGAGTTTTTCCTTCCCAACAAGAAGCCGCTCAAGGGGAACATTTAGATTTGTTGGACTTCTCTCTTCAATATAATATTGTAAGATCTTCAACCTACATACGAGAAATTCCCTGAGATCACTTATGTTGTGTATCGGTGCCATTTAAGTAAAACTGAACGGAATTTAAAATCCTGATTTTATTATTATGAGAGTATCTGACAAGAATGATCTTTAGTTTCCACAAAAGTTTCCCATCTTCTTCTTCTTAAAAATGTGGTTTCCGGAAACTGTGAAGAAGCAGTTGTTGGTCAAAAACAAAGCTTTGCAGTTTGCAAAACAGATTCTGGTACAGATCCTTGTAATAAAACAAGCCTGATTTACCATGATTTCCCCACAGAATCTAACAGGTTTAGTCAACATAACAGCTTTTGTTGATAATAATGTGGAAATACCATCTCCTGTGGGAATACAGCCTCTTTTCCTCAGTTAGTCAGCACACACAGACATTTGACATTTACAGGAGTTTAATAATCAGGTGCTTGGCTGACAGATGACTGTGTTTGCAAACCAAATCCTCGTTAGTGTGAAGCTGAACAATGCTGAATTACAACGAAGTGTGTCCCTACCATCGTCTTCCCCCTCTAACCGCTTTAAATCCACCTCTACCGGACCTCCAGCCTCCGTGTGTTGCCAGCGGCTCTGTGCGCGTCTGTATCCCGTCAGAGAGCCGCCGCCGCCGGCCAGTAGCCGCGCTCCGTCCCGGGAGGTCGGAAAGGAAGTTCGGTTGTTGTGCGTTTCCCGCTGAATTACAGCCCTGCGCCGCCACGATGAACTTATCTGACCCGGCAATCTGCGAAGGAGCGTCGTCATGCTTGCTGTTCCTTTACTGTTCAGCTTCCAGGAGCAGGAAAACGGTTCAGTGCAGTTGCAGGAAGTCTGGAGCAGGTTTCTTCCTGAGAGAGGAGGGACTTGGCTGCTGCACGTTCAAACCGGCAGAGACACAGAAAAAGTAGCTTTGAGAGTTCAAATCAGAGGGGAAACGAAACATTTACTCAAGTATTGTGCATCAGCAAGTTTCAGATACTTGAATTTTGCTTGAGTGTTTCTATTTGATGCAACTTTATACACATTTTAGAGTCAACTATGGCATTCTTTGCACTTGTCTGACAGCTTTAGTTACTTTTCAGGTAGCATATTTTAGAAATACCTCTTTAGTAGAGCGAAAATCAAATCCAAATGTTATGATTTTGAATTTGTATTCTGATAAATTCATAGATTATGTGGGCCTTTATCAGTTCATGATTTATCAACTACCTTGAGAAATATAATCTAGCAGTAAAATGCATGGTCACAGAGCTGAAAATGGCTCTTTTTCATAAAAACTTTGTAAAGCTTCAGGTTTCTCACACTGTAAACATAATGCTCTTATAGAGTATGACATATTGCTGTAGATTAAACTACCCAGCAGCATGTAAAGGAGTTCAAATGAGCTCACCACCCACATCTACAGCATTAAAATACAACATACATATTTATGCAGCGGCACTATTAATCCTAAAACATCATATGTAACAGTAAAGAATTGATTTAAAATGTTTTACTGTACTTTTGAAGCTTTGGGTAAATTTCGCTGACAATACATGACATTACATAGTTTCACATAAGTCAAGTTTTGAATGCAGGACTTTTACTTGTCGTGGAGTATTTTCATTTAGTAAAGCATCTGACTGCTTCTTCTTGTTAACAAGTAATAGCAACGGGTGATATTTTAACATTTAAAGCAGAGATGTTGAAGTTGCTCCGTTTTTTAACAATATTTTGACAAAATGGAATTTTTTTCTACTATATCAGTTACTGTTTCCTCAACAGGAGTCAAAGTGAAACTCTGGAGATTATAAAAACGTCATTTTTACTTCCTCATGGACTCCACACACACACACACACACGCAGACACACACACACACAAAACCAAATCCAAAACCAATTCTTCATCTTAAAATGTAATGATTTAAGTCATGTGGACTTATGTGACAGGTGAATCCCAGCAACGTGACTGTAAACAGATTTAAAAGTCCAGACAACATGAGAACAAACACACACACACACACACACACACACACACACACACACGCTGCCCTCCGACCTGCCGTCCTATCTCTCTGGAGTGTCCAGTCTTTGGCCAGACAAAGCGGCCTGTTGAGGTAAGGTTTTCCGTCAGGCTGCTCTCGTGTCTAGTCTGACCATACATTATTGAGCAGGTCTTTACAAGTTATGCAATTACGGAGTCAGACAGTGTCTCTGATGGCACAACAGTCTGCTGAGATGAGAGACGCAGGATCTGTGTGTCCCTGTGCAAATCCACGTCCATGTGAGCCGTGCATCGTGACAGAATTTGACCAGTTAATGAAGATTTTTAGGCCTTCAGATACACAAGGTTATTCACATTCATATCAATCAGTTGACTTCCAATCTGCCGCAGCAGGTCTCACTGTTTATCTAGTTTCTGTTTGGCTTTGTTTACGCTTTGTAATTAACATGGACGCCGCTGGCTCTGGGCGATGAATCATATTAATCTGTAATGGAGATGTAAATGAACAGGTGCAGAGTGTAGGTGGCTGTGCTGGGTCACGAGGGGGGTGGGCAGGATGGAGTGGGTAAAGTGAAACTGAAACTATAACCCAAAACAACATCATTTTTACACACAGAAATTTGACCACGAAACAGAGAAAGACTGGTGAAATAGAAGAGATAAGGAAATAAAGGAAGCACGAGACAATGACGGGCGAAACGAGACACGTTTTAAATATAAATGTTAATCCTGACGAGGCTTCATTTGAGAGGTAATGAGAGACACAGATTTGCATTAGTCTGTCGGTTCTGTTGCAGTGGAGTGAAATGCTAGCTGATGGTTGGTTCTGGAGGAGAACAGGGAGTTCAGATTTGATGTCTGGCGGGTTACTCTTCTCATGTGCGCCTCGAGATGGAAAATGACACTCTGGGGTTTGAGTGCAAAGGTGTATGAGTGACGGGAACTGACGTAGAAAGTGGAGGTTGGACACAGAACACAGCGGAACCAAAGTCTGAGATAAACGCGGGCCCAGATTAATATCACTGAAAATAGTGCCTCCTCCCTTTCTCCACTCTTCTGCTGCATGTAGCTGCATTTCTGCTCTTTAACTGGACTGATTCATGCCTTCTTCATGGAACAAACATCCTGGACAGGTCACACTTTTCCAGCTGCACAGCATTTCCCCTCCAGTCCTGCAGGGGTCAGCCTCGGATCAGACGGCTGATTGGAGGATAGTAAAGGCTGCCGTGTTGCTCTCAAGCTTCCTTCATGTCATTTACCGTGGACCTTATCCAAACTGTTGTTCTACTCTCCTCCTCTTCCTCTTCTCCAATCTGAGGTCGGAGCTGTTGAGAGCCGGAGTCAGATCCGTGTGTTGACGGATCTCCAGCTTCACCAAAGCCCAGGGCTGAGTTCAGGCAGGGAGGCCTGGTGACGGGGTACGAGGCCGGGAATGAGTCAGAGGCAGCGAGTGGCATTTGGTTGCTGGAAATCTCTGTCAGGAGGCGCAACGATCTGCTCAAGGCGTGTACAACGTGTCTGACCTTTGTGTCTACACTGTAACACTAACATAATTCTCTGTCTTGAGCTCAGTCTGCATTCATGGGGCTCTCGCTCTGTATCACACAGACACCTATAAGAAAAAACAACCTCAGGCCAGGCTGTTTTTAAATCAGCACTAATTTACTTACGAAACCATAGAAGAAAAACAGCATCCGTGTGTTGTTTGTGTGTGTGAATGCGTGTAGTGGGAGGAGAAGGGATGGAGATAAAGAAAATCCGAGAAGATGTTTGTTTGCTGTGATGCTGATTTGGCCCTTTGTGTGTTTGTGAGTGTGTGTGAATGGGTTAGGACTAGAGGGCTGTTGTTATGTGAGCACATTAACGCCACTAAAGTGCAGAGAAGCAGGCTGGAGTGGATTAATACGCTCTGCTGGGACTGCAGATCCAACAGCCTCGAACTTCCCAGCTGAACGTGACTCAGTGTTATTCATCTATTGCAGATCAACAGCGTTAAAAAAATCACTTTAAAAGAGAAATTTTTGTTATTGTGAAGAAATCTATTCAAATACAAAATGACGGCACTTCAATGGTAAATCGGACTCGACTTCTGTGGAATGCAAATGTTTGTGCAAAACTTCATTTCGGCCGATCTCAGCGTGGTCGACCATCAGAATCATTGCACACGCTGACATGTTCCTTCACTACGATGCACATGGACACGAGTTTGTTTTTTTATCAATCCCACATACATCCTTACACATTCACAAGTGCAGCAATGTGCATTATACAAAAATAATCCCCTAAAAAGCAGTTTTTCCTCATTTTAATTGCTAAATGCTCCACTATTAAACACTATAAAGGAATTTAGTGAAATCAAGGAAGCCTTCGAATTTCCATCCATCCATTATCTACACACCGCTTAATCCTCACTAGGGTCACGGGGGGCTGGAGTCTATCCCAGCTGACTTAGGGTGAAGGCAGGGGACACCCTGGACAGGTCACCAGTCTATCACAGGGCTACACTTAGAGACAGACAACCAAGCACACTCACATTCACACCTACGGACAATTTAGAATCACCAATTAACTTCAACATGTTTTTGGACTTGTGAGAGGAAGCCGCAGAACCTGGAGAGAACCCACGCTGCACGGGGAGAACACGCAAACTCCATGCAGAAAGAATCCCCGTTGCCCCCCATCCGGATGCGAACCGGCGACTTACCAGCTGCGCCACCTTGCAGCCCCCTTTTAGACAACTTGAAAATCAGAATCAGAAACAGTTCTATTGCTGAGTAGGTTTTTACATATGAGGAATCTAATTTGATGTTTTAGTGTATGACAGACAAGCGTGATATACAGATTTAAAAAAGTGTTGCAAGTGAGTAGACAGGAAGTATTACATGACCCAAAAAATAGAAGCAAGTGTAATCAAGGGGTTTAAGACATAAAAAGTCATAGAACTTCAAACACGAGTTCTTATAGCTTGGGGCATTTTGACTTTAAATTAGTTGAATCAATGAACAGCTGAGCGTTCACTCAACTCATTAAATTAAGTTCACATGAAACAAAACAAGTGACTGACAGAATAAAAACTTTTTAAAACTCCCCAGAGACTCTCCTTTTATGTAGTTCAAGAAGACAGACCTGGTGGAAACGAGCTGTATGTCTTTCATACATGTTAAATTAAGTTATGGTTGTTTCTCCTAATCTAAACAATTCCAACTGCGGCAGAAACTCTTATTGAATTCAGCCCCTACAGTCATAGGCTTATCATTTATTTAAGGGTAAGTGGGAGCAGCCTCTCAGATTCTCTTTGTTCTGACTCTGGCCAAAAATGGCTTCAGAAGCTGCAGCTGTAAGTTCTCAATGTTAAATGAAGAAGAAACTCTTCAAACTTATTAAATGTAAAAAGAAAAAGAGTCGGTCTGTAGCTATTGTCTGTGACTAGTTGATTCAAGTTAATAATTTCAATCAGATAATTTTACACTTTTACCACTCAGAAGTTAACTTTGAACTAATTAATCATCAGGGCAAGTTAAGTCACGTTTCTAAGGCAGCAGGGGGACTGAGGAGGGAAATTCGTGCATAATTGTGGCTCATTTATAAAGCCTGGCTCTTATCAGATTGTGAAATCACCTCATCTGTGGTGTTTGGTTGTCTGACAGTCTGCAGTTTTTTGCAAAAACTACCTTGTTGAATGTCATGAAGCCTGGTGGAGGGATGGAGCACTGGCAAAGGAAGAACCTAGAACATTTATGCACGGATCCAGATCACTTTTCTCAAAAGTTTTAAGTTACGGCATTGGCCTTGGTGAAAGTCTGCGCTCTTTAAGTGGCCTTCTAGCTCTGTG